CCAAAAACGGGAAGTCTTAAAGAGAACAGTAACAATCCCTCCACCCCCCACAAGGGTAAACCACTATATAAAGGACTGTAAGGTGCTTCTGTACCATACCTACATGACCAAAAGATTGTTACAATCTCTCTTCCACACTATCTCATTCTTTTACTTTCTCTAATGGAGCTGCATCCTGACCTAATTTCAAAGTCCTTTCTTTGCACAGATTAACATCATCTTGACTGAACTATAAGTGCCTACCTGCTTTTTGACACTGTAAAAGAAAAGTGTACATGCTGAAAACTTATGTCAGAGAGATACTGGTCTAACTATACTTTCCAGATTCAAGTTATCATCCTTTTCAGTGCAACAGTGGAGATAAAAAAAGACATCAGACAGAAAAATTTCCTCTCTGCAAAGGAAGGTGCCTGCAGCTTGTGTAGGTAAGCTTAAAACTGCTACTTCTTTGTTTCACCTGACAAATTTGGGCATTGAATCAAAAAATGATCATTAGACTTCTAAATGACTGAATTAAAAAATACTTTGTGAATTTAATTCAATTATAATGAAAGAATTTACTATATTTGGTTCTACAATCCATATGAGACTTTGCGTACACTAAAATGCAACAGCTATAAAAGTTAGTTTAGTTTGCAAGTTGTCAAGCATGGTCTACTGCATAATTTTTAAATATGACTTTTTCAACTTTTTGCTATCTTATCAACCTTGTGTCTGGGTTTTTCATTGTAGCTCCATAGAATCCTCTTTGATATCCAAGCTCATTTGGTTACAGCTATTTAAAATAAAATATTATCAGGTTAGGTCTGAGATATTTTAATTTTCTCAATATGATTTTGTATGGGACAAAAGCTAACTATGATACACTTGACTGAAATAGTATCTGTATGACAATAAAACCTTTCTTCACTACAGGTCAGCAAGATGAAATGTCAGTTTTTTGTGTAGTCGTATAGAAGCTTCAATTTCTTATTTTTAATTGGAAATTAGGAAAAGATGGAAAACTGAACTTGGAAAAAATAAATATATTGCCGTTTTCAACAACCATTTTGTATGTGTAAAAATACAGACTGAATTGGTTATGCAAAATGCACGTGCAACATTAGAGCTCTGAATGAAGTAATATTAGATAGAGACATCAGCAAAAAATAAATGCATCTAGCCAGATTCCTGCATCATGCACATTTTAATTTGCACTTAAATGGTGATACTGGATACTCCTCTGCATTTTGGCTGTTAAAGTAATACTTCACACTTATTTTGCCTATGTAACTTAAAATAACCTAGAAGTGATTTCCAAAGTAGGTTACAGATGTTGCATAAGACTGAGAAATAAACTAAGACTACACAAGTTATTATCAGATCTCAGCTTGAACCTTCTGTTTCGTAGTTTATTTCATTAGATTCTATGTACGTAACATCTATGGGGTTTAACATCAGCCAGATTTCCTTCACAAAATTTCAGTGGAAGAGAACACCCAAAAAGTAACCTTATGCAAACTCAAGATGGTAGCCCCAGAAGACAAACAGCAGTTAGTAATACTGAAAAGCAGGGAGGGGGAAGGGAAATAAGGGAAATTAAATAGATGTTAGATGCACATTACAGAAGAATAATTCTTTTAACTCTGTTTCAGCTCTGATCATTCAGTCGAGAAACACTGGCATAAATGAGAAATTCAACATGTCTTCTTCAGCCATCGCTAGCTACTACTGTAGCTCTACCAGTCATCTACTCTTGCCTATTTCCTGCTGGAAGTTTTGGAAATGTTCTTGCTGCCTGGATATTTTCAAGGCAAGCACTCACAAAAAGAACACAGTACATTTACCTGGCAAACCTTGTTACTGCAAATTTACTTATATGTAGCACAATGCCTTTTCTGGCTGCCTATTTTGCAAGAGGGTACCAATGGACTTATGACTCTGCAGCATGCGGAATAGCAAATCATCTTGGGACTCTTATTATGCATGTCAGTATGTATGTTACGATTATAATTTTATGTTCAATTGCTGTAAGTCAGTATGCAACACTGAAGAAAAATAGTGATGCACAATACTCTCAAGCAGTTAATGAAAACTTTTACAGACATGTACTTGCAAAGTTTCACCAGCCAAAATTTGCTAAATATTTGTGCATCATTATATGGCTTACTGTGCTCTGCATAACAATAATAGCTATAATACATAATGTCCAGGCAAGGGCTAAGGAAGAATTTCACAGATGCTATAACATCAGGGTAGAAGCGGGTGAATTCGCTTCAATGATTGCAGCTTTTCTTGGCACTTCATGTTTTTTTGTATCTTTTATGACAGTGGTGTTGTCATACTATTCCCTTACCAGACATCTGAATAAAATACAGAAAAATACATGTATTGGAGAAAAACATCTAATTTACAGTACAGTGAAAAGAAACATTTTTGTCATCCAGATGATACTAACTGTCTGCTTTCTTCCATATCATATTTTTAGGCCAATTTTTTATGTACTGCTTACAAATAATGACTGCCCAAGGTTAAACTATTTAGTGGAAATTAAGAATTTCCTTACTTGTCTTGCTGCTGCTAAGAGTAGTTTAGATCCGGTTATAACCCTTCTGTTAGATAAAACATTTAAGAAAAGTCTCTATGGCCTGTTTACAAAAGCCACACCACCAGAACACCACGAACGTAAAACTGGTATTTTCATTGAAGATACCCTTGAAATGTGAGGGAATATGGAAAGGTTTTATCAGAATATAAGTAACAATAATCTCAATTTTAACTACCTATAACCAGATTTTGATATGAAACGGTAAATATTTAAATAAAATAACACATTACATGTATTTTTTTCCAAATGATTTTGCTTGCTATATCAACATTAGCCATAATAAATCCCATGTGTATATCTAAGTAATTTATACAGTGAACTGTGTAGACACCTTTATCCATGCAATGCAAAGACATTTTATGTTTGGCCTATGGACAGTGGAAGGCAGAAACGAGGCTGAAGTTGCTGGCCCAGTTCTTTTTTACTATCAATAAAAGAGTCCCAGGATTTGGACACGTTTCCTTTATTAAAAAAGGGTGAACAAACCACACATGTTTTCTCTGCAATTGCTGAATCACATATCAAAGGTTTAAAGAAGCAGGAACAGAAAGCTACAAAATACACTCAGGATTAACATGTATTTTTTGTTCATGAGTATTTAGACAGAAAGTTGATTCCTTTTTTTTTTTTTTTAAAAAAAAAAAAAGAGGAATTTCAATAATCCTAGCCTAATCTTGTGAGGTCAATTCTACTGTTTAATTAGGAAGGCATAAATGCTTATTATTTACAGGTATACAAAATATATTAAATGATAAACATTTAACGATTATTAACAGTATGAGAGCAGTGCAAAATAGGAGATTTTGTGGTTGAGTTCTAACTGTAGAAGTTAGAATGTTATTATGACTTAAGTAGAGATTTCAGTTACTTTGAATCATTTCTGTAGAAGATGCTTAAGATTACATAATGGTCTCTTCCCTTGTACAAGCTTTGCAACTGAGATCAAGAGGAGTTCAGAGTGAAAAAATGTTATGAAATACTAGATATTCTGAGAAATCCTACCACTCACCCAAAACTTCAAAACAGCAGTGAGCAATTCTGTCTTCCCTACCCCACTACTGAGTTCCATGACAGGTACGCTAAACTGACTCAAGTGCCAGTAAACACAAAATATGACGTCTTCTCTAGGGGGGACCCCAAGACTTCATTGTATTTTGCAGAAGTTAAATAAAGTTGCAAGTGAAAAAGACAGAAAATCATAGGAATGTAGTGTTTCATTTAATACAATGTTACCCATAATAGATTTTAGTGATTCCTTCTTTCACAGGATTCCCACATGGTGTTTAGCATATGATTTACGGAAAAAACCAGAGGTGGGGAGCTTCAGGGTCTATACTGAATGAGGAAGTGCTCCTTAGAAAAACATGGCCAGATAGGACACCTTAATTCTGCCTCTGCTATCAATTTCACAGCCTTAATAACATCTTAACAATTTAATATGTTACAAAATCCTCACACAGCAGTTGCTGTTGGATCTCAAGGATAGCTTCTAGAAAATACAGAAAAAGCATGAGTGGTTACTGACTATTCTCAGAGGGCATAAAACAGGTTCCATGCCAAAGTGAAAAGAGCAGAAGGAAAGAAATATGCAAGAAATTTCTTGGTTTGGATATTCAAAGATTGGAAAGAGCAGATGGTCTTAAACAACAGCTTATATTCTGGTTATTTTTTATGTAGTTAAATAAAAACTTACACAAACACATGCAAACACATATGTACAGGCCTTACTCAGTTTCTAGGTACACCTAGAAGCAGAAGTATAGGAATCTTGAACTCTACTGGCAAAATCTGAAGTGCCAAACTACAAGTAGTTTAGGCAATGAACGATAGAAGTGGTAACTGAGTGTGCTCTCAGAATTCATGTGGTTAATTGAAGTTTTGTATAGTGCCTAAATTAACATGCAAATCTATCCACAGATCAAGTCTCAGGTCACCTGGACCAACTGAGATTTGCAGATGCCACACAACACTGTGTTACGCTCAGTCCTACTTTCTGGAAAAAGGTGGCAGAATCAGTGTATTTTTCCCCCAGCAGTTCTATCTATTTAGATGATCACATGTTGGAAACAAACATTCATATCTACTGAGATAAACCTGTAACAAAAATTTTGCATGTCTACATTTAGGCAACAAGCTTGCTCTGACTCCAGTTGCACACCAATCACCTTACTGGTCACAGAAACATATAGAAGCATCCAATTTATATGGATATCATAGAACAAAGTTGGATCATTTGGACTGAACTAAATCTACAACTAAAGCTCTTGATGTGATTAAAATACTCTTGTGTCTGTTACATTAAAAGGTATTTTCATAAGAGGAGTTCTGCAACTATATAAATGCCACATAAGCACCTCAATATAGGCTAACTGAAGACCGACCATAAAACCTCTCAATGTTTTACTGATAAAAAAAACAACATTCATTTGAAGTTATTGCAAAAATGAACAGGTGAAAAAATCTGCAATAAACACTGAAGAAACTCACTTTTTATACAGCACTGTTCTGCTTCATGAGTTATACAATACTTAAACATTCTATTTCTTGAGATGAATCACATTTTACTTTAAGTAACTAGCACAGAAGTCTTCTACCAAGATCAGCATTAGTCTATCCCCTTACTAACAGGTAACTGTGAAACTGTCAAGACAAGACAAAGCAACTTTTCTCGCATGCTGAGAATATAACAACTTAAAATATTGAATGGAGACCAAAAGTGACTATCCTAAATGCACAATGATACTTCAGGTACTCTACACCACATTATCTGCCATAAGGAATGGAAATATTCAAGTTCATCTGCTTATAACAAACCCACCACTTTCAGCTTTTGAAATCATAGTTATTAAAATAATTCCGTAGCACAGAACTTAAGGAAGTTCAATGACCAGTGGTATCCTTCACAATTAAGAGTAGCAGAGGCATACTATTATTTTTTATCCTTCTTGAAGAAAGATTGCAGCTACAGAGCACATTTTGGTTACCTGTTTTTAGTTCCATTTAATCTTGAGGCATGCATTATTGCCTGTAATAAACACGTTGTCATATATAAAGTTACTACCTTCAGTTGTATTTATTTTAAGAGAAAAAAAATACTTTAATACCCAATTTGTTACTTTCTTATTCCTGAAGGTGATGTAAGAGGAAACACTATTTTGCAGGACAGAATATAGCAAAGAGGAAATTTGGAAGAAAGATAAAAGCCATTTTCCTCCTATTTCTTTCTCTTGTTTCAAAGGTTCTCCTGCCACTCATCACTTTTTAACAACCATATTAACAAAACACTTTAATTACTGCCTAATACTGGCAGCTCAAGAGAAAGTGACTTCAGTGACAAATGCTACTCAAAACTCTAGCAAGGGTTTTATAGAAAAAGACAAGCATCTCATTTCAGACACACATTCCTCCCACTTCCCTTTTTTTTTTTTTGTTCTCTCACATAAAGATAATTCTGCATATGAACTACAGTGTAATAACATTTTATATTGGAAAAGATCCCACTTCAATGTTGCTACTTTTGGTAGCCATCTTCTGGATATTTCTGATAGATTCAGAAAGAATAAAAGGAACGGCTGAGTCCTATATTACTAGGATGTCAGAATAGGAATAAATGTTGTGGTAAGGGAAGAAGTTCTTGACATTCACATTTCTGATGCACAGTTGTCTTAGAGTCTTCCACCTTGCTGCATTATTGAATGAACATAAGATCAGATTAACTGAAGGTGACGCAAAGGTGCAATTGTCACTGATTATAAAGCCTTTAAACAATGTTGAAGGGGGTCAAATGATATACAGAGGCTCAAGAAACATCTGGTTTCACAGAGCAGTGAAGTAAATTAAGACAACTACAGGCTATCTTGTGAAAGCTTTCATGTTTTTATTCTGTCATCAGAAGTGAACCTGGGGCATATAGAAGTTTATCATAGGCTTCAGTCATAGTGCCCCAGAAGCTTTGGTAGATCTTGTCACAGAATTCAGTTGAAGTTTCTGGCACCAGAATTCAGCAAACTTAAGTATTCCTGTTTAAATCTCCTAATCAGTCAAGAGCTAAGTTAGCACAAAAGTGGCTAAAAGACACCTAATTCTTACGCAAACTATAAGGTGCAAATTTTCCTGTGCATTAGATAATGATAAAATATTTTGCAGTTCAAAATAATATTCACAGAAAGCTTAAGAGGGAAAAAAATGTAGTATGACAATATCAGCATTACAGATTTTTATTAACAGGTTGACAAGAAGCTCAACATGACCCAGGAGTGTGTGCTTGCATCCCAGAAAGCCAACTGTATGCTGGGATGCATCAAAAGGAGGGTGACCAGCAGGTAGAGGAAGGTGATTCTTCCCCTCTACTCCACTCTGGCGAGACCCCTCCTTCAGTACTGCATTCAGTTCTGAGCTCCCAACGTAAGACAGACATGGACCTACTGGAGCAAGGCCAAAAGAGGGCCTCTCCTATGAAGACAGGCCGAGAGCTGGGCTTGTTTAGCCTGCAGAAGAGCAGCCTTCCAGTTCCTGAGGAGGGCTTAAAAGAAAGCTGGAGAGGGACTTTTTACAAGGGCATGTAGTGATAGGACAAGGGGGAATGTCATTAAACTGACATAGGGTAGATTTAGATTAGGTATAAGGAAGAAATTCTGCACCATGAGAGTGGTGAGGCACTGGAACAGGTTACCCAAGGAAGTTGTGGATGCCCATTCCTGGAAGTGTTCAAGGCCAGGCTGGAAGGGGCTTTGGGCAACCCGGTCTAATGGAAGGTGTCCCTGCCCATGGCAGGAGGGTTGGAACTAGATGATCTTTAAGGTTCCTTCCAACCCAAACCATTCTATGATTAATTTACTTTCATCCATTCAGATAATTTGGAAAGTGGTCATTCTGTCTACTTTCTTTCAAAACAATGTCTACAGTGACATCTAGAGCTGGGACACTGTATTTAGCTTAATATGTTCTACACCCAAACCCTATAGTTCTGCACTGCTTTTGCCAAAATGAAACACTCTGTTGGTTTACACTACTTTAAAGCAATACACAAAAAAAGAAATCTTACTTGCTTATGTAATCGAACAGGTGTCTTTCTAAGGATGGCATTTAATAAAGCCAGTGATTTTAAAGTTTTCAGAA